CCACTGTGCTACCCATGCACTATTATTTCTTTTAATGAAATCTTTTTATGTCTCCAAATATATGCATATACATAGACGTACATATAGTAATTATTTATTATATTTAAAAGTTCTGGTTTGACGGTAATGAGTCATACACGTTATTTCATGTATGTGTATTCCATTAAGTTCTCTAGAAGATACTTATAGATAACATTGTTTCTTACATCAAAGACTGCTACACAGTTACCATTAAACATTATGTGAAAGTCGTTTTTTGCGTATAGCTATAGATTCGAAGAGACAGTTATCACAACTTTCTGAAAATAATAAAAAGAAACGTATATGACAATAGTCGTGCTTTCAAAACAAGCCGAAATAAAGTCACGTAAACGTTCACGTGTGACTAGTGAAAATTACGTCACTAGAATCATGATGTTAAAAAGTATGCGAGTATTTAAGTAACTACAATATAATTACGAGTTTTAGTATTAATGACCTCCATCTATAAGCCAATGAACTGGAATGTATGAGTATATTATACATTACACATTAAAATTTAGTCAGCCTGCATGAAATTGACAAGAACCAGTAAAATCAGTTGATATCATATTATACTGCTGAAGCTGTTTTTCTTGCTTTACTCACAGTTGATGGCGGTATTAAATTTAAATAATACGGTACTTTTCAGTCTCTAAAAGATTAAAAGATATTCATTAAGTTAAAGCACTCCCATTTTTGGACAGTTAATGCGTTATCAAATGTTGGTCCACTGGAATTTGATTTGTTTGATGGGTCTGACAAGGGGGTGACATTGGTTAGAGGACCATTGAGAAACAAGAGAGGACTGAAGAGCTGTTTCGTCCCTCCGGGACTCTCCATCAGTACACATCCAAAAGGGTTAAAATCCAGGACCCTCAGGTTACAAGGCGAGTTAGAAGAGTATTTAGTCACTGGGACCCGAAACGATGGGGCATGAATTCCAGCTTCTGCAAACTCTCAATACACGTGGAGCAACCGTCAGCCGAAGTCAGAGGCAACTAACTGTTTCGGATCCCAGAGGCCGAATGGTCTACAAGCTCTCCTTGTAATCAAGAGATCCTGGGTTCGAACCCAGATAGGTGCTCAATGCTGAAGAGTCCCGAACTAAAGAGAAACGGTGTTCAGTAGTCCCCTGTTTTCCAATGGTTCCCTAAATAATGTCAGTTCCTGATCAAAAGTGTAATTTAATGTACTGCTTTTTACATTATGATGCTGATGTGCCTTTTGCTGATTATGAGATATTCTTTACATTCAGATGAGCGTAGTCTTAGTCTGCTGAAACACTGAGCATTGAGAGGGTCTACGTGACCTGCAATCCTGAAAAAGGTCTCAGTCATTTAATACAAAATAAAATTAAACACATGTATACATATATTTCTTTACAAAATGTATGGTGGTCATACATCAGTGTTAAAATACTTGCCAGCCAGGTGTGAGGTCCAGGGTTTGACTCCCCACAGACACACGTCTAAACCTCTCTTAGCTAGTAGTGAAACTGGTAATGAGAGAAGGTTGGGAGTGAGGTTGGCAATCCCAACCCATAAAAATAAACACCACTGCTAATGATACTTGAAAGCTCAAGAATGAAGCCTTACATTCCACTCGAAACGAAAAGGAATAAAATAAATAAATAATAAGATACCATAAGTGTTAAATAATGGTGTTAGTAATGAAAACTTCGGAAAAACAGCAGTTTTAAAATAAAAATTCTATTCAGTGCTTCTAGACTTCCAAAACATGTTCTCGAAATCTTTATAAACATCATTTTTACTGATAAGACATCGAGAATAGCTTTAAGGTACCAAGGTTGTTGGGGAAATGTTTGTCCAAACGTTTTGGAGATAAAGAATTTAAACATTAGAATTTTTTAAGAATACATTGAACCAGTTACATTTCATAGTCCTTTAATAACAGTAATTACATTAGATGCAATAAGCTTTTATTTTTAAATGAATTACCGATAAAACTTTCCTGTCTTTTCCTTTTAAATCTAATCAGGACGCTCAGACAAAGAAGCAGCATCTTTTGACATGGAACTCTTTTACGCTATCTGATCTCAACGAAATGCAACAAAATTATGAACAACATTTATATGAAGACATGAGAAACGTTACAATTTAATTACTATTCAAACATACCGAACGTAACTGTCATTTGAGTGAGATTTCGATTATTATAAGATTGTAATACTGGAATCAGGCAACACTAGCTATCTTGCCAGACTTGATTCTGATATTAGGGGGGATTAAAAGCAGTTTTTTGGGAAACATAAGTGTTATGTCTAGCTCTAATGAAGATGTAAAAATAACAGATGCCTGAGTATCAGAATACAGTAGCAACGATCAAACAGATAAAACAAATACAACGTCAATATATATTTTGAATTTCGAGAAATTAGAAGTTCATTTTACAGACTACTGCAAGGACACTTCTAAATCTTATAAAGAATCATTCAAGACCACCAAACAGATGGATTGTTCAAACTTGTGACTCTTAGTTGTTAAGCTCCTACAATGCTATCAGTAGATTATCCATAACTCACAACCCTATGGATTCCAACTCTGTTTAATCCCTAGTATAGTACTGACATCCTACAGTATGACCAATAAGTAAATGTTTTACCCAAATTTATGAATATCAATAGTAATTACATACTGCATGATGTGCACTCCTCAAAGTTGGAATTCTATGGAGAAAAACACCAGGGGTTTATTTTTAATCAGTCCTCTAGGATAGTTTAATTATTTACATCTATGAAATGCTAATCAGTTATAGAAATGAGCCGATTATAACTGAAGTTGAACTGCGAGTAATGGATTTTGCATTAGGGAAATAAATCTAGGCACAACTTCTATCTAGAAACCTCACCGTCTTTCTCTTTATAAATAAGCGTTTACCGTTTGAGAACTGAGGTTTATGGGATTAAAAAATGAAATATATTACGGAATTTCTTTAAAGCTTACCGAAGCAGATATCACATGCTAAGTTTAGCTTAACAGTCAAATTACTGTTAAGTCAGAAACTAATAGTTGGGATATCCATCTTATGTTCTAAGTGTCTCATGGTGCTTTGTGTAAAAAACAGTTATTTTCAACCAACTTAGTCCCTACATAACAATTCATGTCTATCAAAAATTAGAAGCTTTGTTCCTTTCAACATCTTGATTTAATAATTGCAGTAGTTACAAGTATGAGTATTTTCTGAAGTTTATGTTGAATTATGTCATTTATGCATGCTTTTGCAGAGCAAGTTATATCTGGAGAAACTTCAAATTACTGATGTGATAGATTGTGCTTTGAATCAGAGATTTTTATACTTTTAGCCACATTCACTTGTGTAGGTTAATTACTAGTCTAACATTCTACAGGTTAATTCATATTGGCGACTTACATTTTGACTACTGCATGTTCGGAAAATCTACATCACAGCTTTACAGAAACACAAGTGAATATCAAGTATATTTCAAGAATATATTGACCGAGTTGTTAGCTAGTTGGGATGTTCAAAGTTTTAATATACTAGGCCGAATGTACCATATTTTTCACATCAACTCATTCATGTTACGAATTTATCAGCGCTTTTTATATTCTTCTTCATGTTGAATTGGTCCAGATTTAGTTTTGCTGAGCATATGTTATAAAGGCCAATGTCTGTTTATTTGGCAATCAAGATAAAATAAAGAATTTTACTCCATAAATCCACCGAAATATATAATTCATCTGAAGCTACTACGATTTACACTGCGAGAAAAATATAACTATAACTTAACGTCTGTAACCAGTCTGAAAATGTATTCTTTTGAACACTAGTGTTTTGTGAGTCACAGCCTTCAATAGTACTATATGGTGGTCAAAAAAGTAACTATCTTCAAGAATAGTTTCAAAATGGGTAGTCTTTGCATTTTCGCCTTCGGCAATTATTCAATTGTGAGACATATTTGCCTGAAACTTCCCTTTGCATTCATCATGACAAAACAACTTTTCAGGTCATTAAGAGACCTGCACCGAGGAAAATGTTAAAATTCCTATCGGTTATAGGTAAAAACATTGTTGAGTTACATAGGAAAAATTCAAATTTTCCCTCAAACCATACTCTTGTACATATTCTTAAGTATTGTTTGCCTGTTATTCTTTAAGATACATATTTAGCAACAAACCACAAGTGTATCAAAAAGAGATTAATCTTAAAACGAAAACGCTTAAAATTAGCAGGAAATAATAAATGAACATTGCGAATCAAGGAAGTTGGATTCTAACTTCTGCCAGTTCACGACATAGCGCAACCACTTCGCGCTACTGGCAGAAGTTAGAATTCAAGGACCATTGGATCGGGTTCCAGTGACTTAATGGTCTACGAGCTCGCCTCGTAACCAGAAGGTCCTGGGTTCGAATCCCGGTGGGTGCGTACTGATGAAGAGTCCCAAACTAGGACGAAACAGCTGTCCAGTACTCACAGATTTTCCAATGGTTCTCTAACTGATGTCAGCTCATGATTAAATTCTCCATGCAATCAAACCAAATCCCTACAAAACCAATACTTGAAATCAAGGAAGTGTTTATCTATTCATTTTATGTGAAGCGAGGTTGGAAATAGCTTAAGTGCGTGTTTGTGGTTTCGCTGTCACTTGAAACAAGACAACTAATATAAAGTTCATAAAGAGGCACTACGGGGTCAGTGTCTAACCTTTTTATTATGTCGAAATTTAACTCACTTTTTTTCCACTCGTTTTGGCTTATGCTTCAGTTTCGGGGTCTTTGATGGCTACAAAATCATTAAATTAAATTCATAGTTCCAAAAACTGAAAATAGTAGCCTTTGGCATTTAGGTTTCAACAAAAATACGCAGAAACTCAAACTGAAAAAGATGATGGCGTATTCAGCCACTAAAACAGTTAAAGATGGAATATGAGAAGGTGAGTTATAACGAAGATGGATTTCAAGATTAAACCTAAGGTAGGAATCGAATTCCACGAAGTTGCATGGAAAAGGATTGTCCAAATATGGGGACACAACTAAGCAAAATGATCTGATCTACTAAGGGCTCTGTAATCATTACGAGATGAAGCCAATGGACGAGACTAGTTACCATAAACGACAGTGTTAGACATAAGTCGCCAAAATTAACCAGAAAGCGGTTTATTAGGATCTTACTTTACATGTACTGAGTTTTGGAGAGACAACGATGAAGTCGAAAATTCCTTATATATCATACGTACATTTATTTTTACAGGCTATTGATAAAATGCTTCCATATGCGTAAAAATAGAAACTTTCAATAATAGTTACTGGTGCATGTTACTGGCAATTATTTACAGCAAAAACTTTCAAAAAGTTCCATATTTACTGCACAAACGCTTTCTTAAAAATTCAAAAACAAGGTCAAAAAGGAAATTGGTTTTGAAGCAGTATACTGATATAGTTATTTAACATATTTCAAGGTAGTATATACATTTTTTCCAAAATCATTTTGGATTGGTTTATGTGGATTACAAATTGGCGATAACGATCTTTGTATGATATTTGCCAAAATAAATCTATGTGATATGCACAAGTTTCAAATAATAAGGCAGCGACTCTTTTTTCTTTTGTTGTGCAATGCTATTCTAGCAGCAGTATCAAAGACATCATTGACTCCATCTTTGTTTTTGGCTAAAATTAAGTAACATTACCTACTATAAAGTCTACCTGAACACTCAACGTATGCCCGAGCACCAATTTTTTCGGCTACATGTTTACCTTCATATTCAGTAACAATTTGCTGTTTCATTTTCTGAAGTTCTCTTTTTGTTGCTTCATCGTTTCTAAGGTCCTTCTTGTTTGCGACAAGTATCACAGGAGTATTTGGCAAAAAACTTCTAATCTTCACACTGTAGATAAAAGTAATAGTGCTCATACTTCGGGCATCCATTTTTCTTCTACATTTTCTAAGCTATCAGGACTATCTACGCTGAAACATAGCACAATCACATTTGTATCGGGATAGGTTAGTGTTCTCAATCTGTCGTAGTCCTCTTGTCCAGCTGTATCCCAAAGCGCCAGTTCAACCTATTCTGTAAGATTTATTTGAAAAAACGACATACATTTTTATTTTCAACTGAAACATCCGACACAAAGCTCTCAAATATTGTCGGTATGTATACTTCTGGAAATTCCCCTTTACAGAAGACAGTCAACAAGCAGGTTTTTCCACAAGCACCATCCCCAACTACAACTACCTTTTTTCTAACGACGGCACTCATAGAGGTAATTCGAATGAAGCAACGACTCTTATCGCTGTTGAGGTCAAATTCTAGTGAAGTAAAAGAAGTTGAGTTAGTGCACATACAATCCGTAAGTTTCGTGTCCACTTATTCATCAAACGATGTATCTGCTTTATTTACTTAGATTCTCCTAACGAAAGCACCCTTCTTCATGGAGGTTTGAATACTGATATGCTTGCTAACCTTTTCCAATATCCAATATCCTGATTACGAGCTAGTATAAACCAGTGATTTCTTTGAGCTCGCTTCTTGATTGTGAGGTAGAGGTTCCAGATCTTCGGTGAGCTTCTGCGTAGTAAGTCCCGACACTCGACTGCTTTAGCTCTGGTAGACTCCAGGAGGAGTGGTGCGGGGATTGGTCGAGATGTGGTTTGTAGTATGCAGTATGTTAGGACTGTATTGCTGCCGTGAATGGAGTTTGACCTAACTCCCCTTGGTCATTCGGTGTAGTCATAAAAGCAGAATAGTAATAATAATAATAATAATAGGTTGTAGTGTAGATAATATAGGTTGAGATAAGTGGAATAATAAAGGTGACCTAAGGAAAAGATAGAGTGAGAGAAGGCAGAATAGGTCGTGGGGATTTAGTTTGTACGCTTATCCATTGACAGTGTGGTTTCAAATTTTATGAGGATAAGCCATTGAGACACAAACCTTGCATTTCTGCATGATTGTCTAGCTTCCGCTTAAAAATCTCCAGAGATGGCGCTGTAGTCACGGCCGCCGGTAAAGCGTTCCAGAGACGGCAAACACGAAGCGAAAAGAAATGTGATCGCACTCGAGTCTTTGGTCTCTGGTGTGCTATCCTTAGCGGGTTACCTCGTGGAAGCCTATAATCGCTTAATGGCAGGATGCTTTTATTTGGGTGGGCCTGGTCATTTAGGATCTTGTAGACGGTGATGAGGTCTCCCCTGTGCCTACGGTAACTAAGTGTGAAAAGACCTAATTTCTTTAGTCTTTCCTCATATGATTTGTTGCGGAGGCCGATCACCCATTTTGTCGCTCGTCTCTGGACACTTTCTAGAATGTTAGCATCCCTTTTGAGTAGCGGAGGTGCAATGATATTATGCACCTCAAGGTGTGGCCTCACATATGCCTTGTATAGCCTTAAGAACAGTTCGGGAGTGAGAGCTCCCAGCTGCCTGTGCATAAAGTGTAATGTTGCGTAGGCTTTGGCGACGTCCCTCGAGTAATTTCCACTGGTGTCTAGCTTTTCTGTTAGAATAAGACCTAGATCACGCTCTGATGGAACACAACTCAAGTTCTGGCCACCAAGGGTGTAATTTACACTCTGTGACCTGCCGGAATGAAGCTGCACTACTTTGCACTTCTTTAGATTGAAAGGCATTCCGTTAGCCAAAGCCCAATTTCCCAGAGTTTGCAGGTCAGCCTGCAATCTATCTGAGTCTTCCGATGAGTTTATTGCTCTCCAAATCTTTACGTCGTCAGCGTAAAGAAGCGCAGAGCAGTTTAGTTGGGGGGCAGGTCATTGATAAAAATCAAAAACATCAACGGCCCTAGGATAGAACCCTGAGGAACCCCTGATGCCGAGGTGTGCCAGGATGATCGGATGCGGTTGACTTTGGTGCAGAATTCTCTCTCGCCTAAGTAATCTGTCAGCCATGCGAGAAGTGCTCCAGAAACTCCCGCCTTGCCTATTTTGTGAAGGAGCAGACCATGGTGAACTGTGTCGAATGCTTTCGCAAAGTCGAGAAAGATCACGTGGGCTGGTACCTTTTTGTCCCAGGATAGTGTCCAATCGTTCCAGGCTAGTAGAAGATTCGTCACGCAGGATCTTCCCCTCCTGAAACCGTGCTGTGCTTCGTGAAGAAGGTTAGTCCCATCGAAGTATTTTCTCATGTGGTCGTCAATGAGACTTTCCAATATCTTCGATACCACTGGAAGTAGAGCAACTGGTCTGTAACTGGTCACATTCTGCCGGTCACCACCCTTGAAGATAGGGGATAGGATTGCACGTTTCCATTCACATGGAAGTTTCCCTACATCAAGGGAGTGTTGGAACAGATCACTTAGGGGTTGACAGAGACTTTCTGAACACTGCTTCAGGACAGATGGTCTGATGCCATCACAACCTGGAGACTTTCCCGAAGCCAACCTTCCCAATTTTGCAAGTACCATAGCCGGGGTAATTTGAAATGTCCCCAGCAGGTTTTCGTGTGTTGGTTTTGCGATGTAATCTGGATGTTCTGTAGGGGTAATATCCTCGTTACTATTTAGTTGCCTGTGAAAGGCTAGGCTGAATGTCTCTGCCATTTCAAGACTAGTAAGAGATTTCCCATCAGAACCCACTAGATTGCATGCTCCCTGGTTGGTCGGTTTTCTTTCGGCCATAAACCTGTATAGGCTTTTGGGGTTCACGAGAAGCTTATTGGCGAGGTCTCCCTGAAATGTCCTTCTATCGCTCCGGACTCGTATGTTACATCGATTCCTGAGTTCAAGGTACACTTCATATTCGGGTTGACTCTTCGATCGTCGCCACGCGAACCAGGCTTTTCGCTTTGCCTGCAGAAGGCGTTGTGTCCCTCTTTTCAGCCATGATCGTTGCTTCCTAGCTTTTGGTGAGACTAAAGGAACAGTGTCTGAGACCGCCTGGTGAATGATCTCCTTTACCACTCTCCAGTGTTCTTCTACTGTTAGCTCTGTCCATTTTTTAGGCCAGTTTGCTTCAGACAGAAGTCTTCGCATTTTGGTGTAGTTGGCTTTGTTATAACACAGATAGGGCTGTGTATTGTCCCACTGTAAGCGCTCGCGGAGGACTATGTCGAATACTATGACCGCGTGGTCACTACTACCTATGGGAGTCGTGATCTGAACGTTTTCCACTAGTAGCTGGTCACTAGTGAGCACGTAATCCAGTCTAGAAGACTTCCCATCAGGGCCCCATCTAGTATCCATCTTGACATTTTCAGTGAATCCAGCCTTCCTGATGGTATGCAGCAGATTTCGATCAAATCTATCATGGGCTTTTCCCGACACCAAGTTAAGAGATGGGGCATTGAAGTCACCAGCTATGACAATTTGATCATAACCCATGTCTTGAGTTGCTGAGATTGTATTTAGCAGTACCTGGTTGTGGTCTGCTCCACATGAAGGTGATCGATAAATGCTGCCCACTAGATATTTGCAGTACCCAACGGTGAAGTGGCACCATATGGAGTCAGGGAGCTCTGTGAGGGGAGGGTCCATCGCGTGAACACATCTGAGCTGTTTGTCGACGTATATGGCGACTCCACCTCCTTCTTTCAGGTCCCTATCTCGCCTGACTAGGACCATATCATTTATACTGACTTCGCTGTCTGCCACCGTAGGGGTTAGCCAGGTTTCCGTCAGTATTATGATTTTGGAGTTTAGTTGTGATTGTAGGTGTCTAAGTTCAGCTATTTTGCCTCTTAGCCCTCTCACATTACTATACAGGCAACTGGTAGTCAGTCTCACCACTTCCCCGTATTGGGGGGTAGTTGACTTGATATTGGCTATCGGTTGAGGAGTTATCCTACGAACTAGTTGGCCGATTCCCCAGGAACCGGCCTGTTGGCGTTTTTTTCTTCTAGTTCAGTTGGAGCACTCGGATGACACTGGCTATCATCGTCCGTGCTGCACCGCTGTAGTGTGACTAGGGGTTGAGGATTTTTTTTACTACGCTTTGTTCTCTCCTTTGAGTGCGAGGCCGGCTCTCGCAGCAGCGAATGTGTTTGCTGACCTTGTCCTTGGTCTCGTACCATCTATGGAGAGCGGTAGTCAACTGGTCTTGGGAGCTGAACTTGACAGCTAACAGACGTGGCGAGTTAATTGACATAAGATGAGTGGGTCGAGGCAGTCTATAAATAGAGACAGCCCCTGAACTTCCCAGGGCCATCTGGGATGCTAACCATCTCCATTGTTGTACATCATGACAATGCTTTTCGCAGGCGTTCCCAGTTACCAGTTCGGGAATGCCATGCACAACCATGGAGGCAGAAGGAATGAGCTCTGGCGACTCCCTCGCCATTTGTCTTTCCTTCCACGGCCTGTCTGGCTTAACACGTATGTTACAGGCCCTCCCTATAGAAAGGACTTGAGAAGCCAGTAACACTTTTTCAACATCCTCGGTAGAGCCCAATGTTACCCTCAGTGGGGATGGTTTGCCTTCAGGTGCAGCAGTGCCCCTATACAATCTGCATAGATTTACTGGTTGGATGTCCAAACCCAGTGTGCTACACAAGATGGACCACTGTTCCTGATCAAATAGGGCCCTATCTTTCAGCAGACTACTGCTACAGTCTGGTACATTAAAGAGGATTACACAATTTGATCTGCTAACCGTGGGCTTGGGCTCGGTCCTCGCACGTTTGTGATCACCTTTAAGACCGTTTTGGTTTGACTGGTGCGACTGGGTATTTTTATGTGTCTCAGTGCTATAGCCAGCATTACTGATAGACGGTTGGGGTCTTTTTCCAACGACGGAAACCCGTGGTTCTCCAGCCTCTGTGTCTGGAGCGGTTATGGCAAGAGTTACAAGTTTAACCGGTGAGGATTTTGGTATCCCCGGTTTACGCGCGTTTGTACTAACTTCCGGATTGGTGGGGGTCGAGCTTTTCACCTTTTTCCCCGCTACTTCTGTGCCATCTTTAGTTTTCAAAGGACTACGCGAGGCTACATCAGGACGGCAACTCGGGCATATGTACCAGAACCATTGGCATGGGTTTTTACGCATAAAGTCATAATATGCTTTTGGTACCCCACTGTCGCATCTGCAATGCACCCATCGGTTGCAAAAGTTACATTCGAAAGCAGAGTCTGCTTGTTCGACAACAGAAGCACAGACCTTGCAGTCGTCTGTCTTCTTGGGGAGCGTTCTTGTCGTCTTGCGACGTCGTGAACGTTTCTTTTTGGCCTTCCTATTTGTTTCATGGTCTACCATGGGGATGGGTGTTATGAAGTTCTCACTTAGTGCAATTTTCCCACTCGGATCTGTTAACCTAGTCGTGTTAACAGGGGTGGAGCCACATCCACTTGGCTGACTTTGCACAGCTTCACTGTAGGACTGTGGCGACATGGGTAATCTGTACGAGCTGGGAATATTAGCCCTGGTCTTCAGGACCGGTATGCGTGAGTCCATCACCTTCTCCTGTTTGCCTAGTTTGGCTG